GTACTAGTAACACACAGTACCAGGGATTGACAGTACTGTAACACACAGTACCAGGATTGACAGTACTAGTAACAGACAGTACCAGGGATTGACAGTACTAGTAACAGACAGTACCAGGGATTGACAGTACTTGTAACAGACAGTACCAGGGATTGACAGTACTAGTAACACAGTACCAGGGATTGACAGTACTAGTAACACACAGTACCAGGGATTGACAGTACTTGTACACAGACAGTACCAGGGATTGACAGTACTAGTAACAACATTCCCAGGATTGACAGTACTAGTAACACACAGTACCAGGGATGACAGTACTAGTAACACACAGTACCAGGGATTGACAGTACTTGTAACAGACAGTACCAGGGATTGACAGTACTAGTAACACACATACCAGGGATTGACAGTACAGTAACACAGTACCAGGATTGACAGTACTTGTAACAGACAGTACCTGGGATTGACAGTACTAGTAACACAGTAACAGGGATTGACAGTACTTGTAACAGACAGTACCTGGGATTGACAGTACTAGTAACACACAGTACCAGGATTGACAGTACTAGTAACACACAGTACCTGGGATTGACAGTACTAGTAACAGACAGTACTAGTAACACACAGTACCAGGGATTGACAGTACTAGTAACAGACAGTACTTGTAACGAGACAGTACTTGTAACAGACAGTACCAGGGATTGACAGTACTATAACAGACAGTACCAGGGATTGACAGTACTTGTAACAGACAGTACCAGGGATTGACAGTACTAGTAACAGACAGTACTTGTAACAGACAGTACCAGGGATTGACAGTACTAGTAACAGACAGTACTTGTAACAGATAGTACCAGGGATTGACAGTACTAGCTAACAAACAGTACCATTGACAGTACCAGAACAGACAGTACCCGTAACAGACAGTACCAGGTATAGACGGGAGAGGAATTAAATCAACCTCACTGAACCTTGTACAGAGAGGCCATTGTCCTTCCCACGCACGAGATAACGTCACCACCACTGGCGATCACCTACGCCTGGCGACCTATTTCACCAACCTAAAAAAAAGAGAGAGAGAGAGAAGAAAAAAAAAAAAAGAGAGAGAGAGAGAGAGAGTATGTAAACAATAACAATTTGATTGAGTGAGATAATTACCTACCACAACCACCACCAACTTTCAACACCACACACACACACACACACACACACACACACACACACACACACACACACACACACACACACACACACACACACACACACACACACACCTACCTTCAAAGATTTCTCCCAACAGGTGAAGACGTCCGTAGGTGCCGTAAATAACAGCTAAGACGTTATTGTGTGAAATTAGTTCAATAACCTACGTGAGTTTCGCCTCAGTGAGAAGCGTGTAAGTGGAACATGGCGGCGAGTCTTAGTTCATGGCAGGACTTTGACTCGTATGGTGTTAGTCTATAAGGGTTGGTATACCTTTCTTCTGAGTATAGGTATCTCATGTGTTATCGTTAAGGGACTGTGACTCTATTTATCTAAGTTGACCTTCCCAACAACAAAGGACTGTACCGTATGGTGTTAGTCTATAAGGGTTGGTTTACCTTTCCTCTGGGTATAGAACTGAAATGTGTTGTTGTTAGGGATTTAGCCCTAGGGTATCAGTTTACAAGGGTGAAAATACTCTATATAGTGAACCTACATCTATATAAAGATCAGGAGATATTAACCCATATGGCGTTTGTAAATAAGAGTCGAAAATACCATAAAATACCTAACACATAAAGGCTAAAGGACTCTGAACCTTATAAATTCAACACATAAGGCTGAAAATATCAATCATCATTAAATTCCCGTCACCTAATGGCGCCCCAAACCACAATTTTGACGCGGGAATAAAACTTGATCACATCCTCCAGAGAACAGGCAACCGGAAGTACCCTTTAAAAGTTTAGGAAAGTACTTCAAAGTTTAGGGAAGTCTCATAGTTTAGGGAAGTACTTATTTAGGGAAGTACTTCATAGTTTAGGGAAATTAGTTTAGGGAAGTACTTCATAGTTTAGGAAGATATAAGTAATCCAATTTGACACCTTAAAAAACCTAATCTAATACTTTCCCCTTAACAGACAGTACCAGGAACAGACAGTACTAGTAAGAGACAGTACCAGGGATTGACAGTACTCGTAACAGACAGTACCAGGGATTGACAGTACTTGTAACAGACAGTACCAGGGATTGACAATACTAGTAACACACAGTACCTGGGATTGACAGTACTAGTAACACACAGTACCAGGGATTGACAATACTAGTAACACACAGTACCCCGGGATTGACAGAGCAACACACAGTACCTGGGATTGACAGTACTGTAACAGACAGTACCAGGGATTGACAGTACTAGTAACACACAGTACCGGATTGACAGTACTGTAACAGACAGTACCAGGATTGACAGTACTAGAACACACAGTACCTGGGATTGACAGTACTGCACAGACAGTACGAGAATGGACAGTACTGTAACACACAGTACCAGGGATTGACAGTACTAGTAACAGACAGTACCAGGATTGACAGTACTAGTAACACACAGTACCAGGATTGACAGTACTAGTAACAGACAGTACCAGGGATTGACAGTACTAGTAACAGACAGTACCAGGGATTGACAGTACTAGTAACACACAGTACCAGGGATTGACAGTACTAGTAACAGACAGTACCAGGATTGACAGTACTAGTAACACAGTACCAGGGATTGAAGTACTAGTAACAGACAGCACCGGGGATTGACAGTACTAGTAACACACAGTACCAGGGATTGACAGTACTAGTAACAGACAGTACCAGGGATTGACAGTACTAGTAACACACAGTACCAGGGATTGACAGTACTAGTAACACACAGTACCAGGGATTGAAGTACTAGTAACACAGTACCAGGGATTGACAGTACTAGTACGACAGTACCAGGGATTGACAGTACTAGTAACACAGTACCAGGGATTGACAGTACTAGTAACACACAGTACCAGGATTGACAGTACTAGTAACAGACAGTACCAGGGATTGACAGTACTAGTAACACAGCATCCAGGATTGACAGTACTAGTAACAGACAGTACCAGGATTGACAGTACTAGTAACAGAATACCAGGATTGACAGTACTAGTAACACACAGTACCAGGGATTGACAGTACTAGTAACAGACAGTACCAGGGATTGACATATACTAGTAACAGACAGTACCTGATTGACAGTACTAGTAACAGACAGGCAATAGGATTGACATACTAGTAACAGACAGTACCAGGGATTGACAGTACTAGTAACAGACAGTACCAGGGATTGACATACTAGTAACAGACAGTACCAGGGATTGAGAGTACTAGTAACACACAGTACCAGGGATTGACAGTACTAGTAACAGACAGTACCAGGGATTGACAGTACTAGTAACAGACAGTACCAAGGATTGACAGTACTATAAACACACAGTACCAGGGATTGACAGTACTAGTAACAGACAGTACCAGGATTGACAACTAGTAACAGACAGTACCAGGATTGACAGTACTAGTAACAGACAGAACCAGGATTGACAGTACTAGTAACAAGAGTACCAGGGATTGACAGTACTAGTAACACACAGTACCAGGGATTGACAGTACTAGTAACAGACAGTACCAGGGATTGACAGTACTAGTAACAGACAGCACCAGGGATTGACAGTACTAGTAACAGACAGTACCCAATTGACAGTACTAGTAACAGACAGTACCTGGGATTGACAGTACTAGTAACAGACAGAATTAGGATTGACAGTACTAGTAACAGACAGACCAGGGATTGACAGTACTAGTAACAGACAGTACCAGGATTGACAGTACCAGTAACAGACAGTACCAGGGATTGACAGTACTAGTAACACACAGTACCAGGATTGACAGTACTAGTAACAGACAGTACCAGGGATTGACAGTACTAGTAACAGACAGTACCTGGGAATGACAGTACTAGTAACACACAGTACCAGGGATTGACAGTACTAGTAACAGACAGTACCAGGGATTGACAGTACTAGTAACAGACAGTACCAGGGATTGACAGTACTAGTAACAGACAGTACCAGGGATTGACAGTACTAGTAACAGACAGTACCAGGGATTGACAGTACTAGTAACACACAGTACCAGGGATTGACATTACTAGTAACAGACAGTACCAGGGATTGACAGTACTCGTAACACACAGTACCAGGGATTGACAGTACTAGTAACACACAGTACCAGGGAATTGACAGTACTAGTAACACACAGTACCAGGGATTGACAGTACTAGTAACAGACAGTACCAGGGATTGACAGTACTAGTAACACACAGTACCAGGGATTGACAGTACTAGTAACAGACAGTACCTGGGATTGACAGTACTAGTAACACACAGTACCAGGGATTGACAGTACTAGTAACACACAGTACCAGGGATTGACAGTACTAGTAACACACAGTACCAGGGATTGACAGTACTAGTAACACACAGTACCAGGGATTGACAGTACTAGTAACACACAGTACCAGGGATTGACAGTACTAGTAACACACAGTACCAGGGATTGACAGTACTCGTAACACACAGTACCAGGGATTGACAGTACTAGTAACACACAGTACCAGGGATTGACAGTACTAGTAACACACAGTACCAGGGATTGACAGTACTAGTAACACACAGTACCAGGGACAACCAACTGTTTAAGGTGAAAGTACAGATAAGTTACTTTCTAAACACATGTGAGAAACTATATATATTTCGCTACTTTTTTTTACGAAGAAGATAATAAGAAAGTTGATGGCAGTGATCTTGAGAATTATTTAGGTTACCTGTGATTTTAATTGGACAGGTAGGTGTAGTCTGTCTATCTTTCTATCAGTCTGTCTGCCCGTCTGTCTGTTTTTATCTATCTGTCTGCTTAGTAAGGTATATTTTTTTTCCTTACAGAAGCAATAGGAACAATGGCGGCCAATGTTCTCTGAGACTCTAGTGAGTATGTGAAGACCTACCACTATTATCAGTACCTACCACTATTATCAGTACCTACCACTATTATCAGTACCTACCACTATCACCAGTACCTACCACTATTATCAGTACCTACCACTATTATCAGTACCTACCACTATCACCAGTACCTACCACTATTATCAGTACCAACCACTATCACCAGTACCTACCACAACCCAGCTTTCCTACCCCAGTACCCCACACTACCACCTACCACTATCCCACAACCACCACCTACCACTATCCCACCACCATCCAGCCTCCCTACCCCACCTACCACCACCTCGCCCCTGGGTATGGGTCAATGGGCAGGTTTTTCTATTCAAGGTTCACCACTTAGGGTCATGTAGAGATATACTTTGCATCAATTAAAAACTTCTAAGTTATAATTACCCCGTAACTGGATAAACAAAAACGCATCTAATTAATTCCAACAGGAAGATGGCGGCCCAAAAAAGAAGTGAGACATTAGTGTAACTGGTTTTCTTAGTTTTAATTGAGAGAAAAGAGAGAGAAACTGACGAAAGTCTTTGAAAAACCGGACATGTTGCCCTGAAGGATGCTGGTGGTCAACTGGGTACTCACCGCTATCTAGGTTAGTAGACAAGCTGCAGGCACCGTGACGTCAAACGACTCCACCAATCATCACCACATCTGGGAAATGACGCCATGATTTACCCATAGGCCACGGATGTTGATTGGTTGGTTGTCACTCTCCTTACAGTGTGATGTTAAATGTTTCCACCAATCAGTGCCACACCTGGGGAATGACGTCATGATTTACCCATAGACCACGGATGTTGATTGGTTGGTTGTCACTCTCCTTACAGTGTGATGTTAAATGCTTCCACCAATCAGTGCCACACCTGGGGAATGACGTCATGATTTACCCATAGGCCACGGATGTTGATTGGTTGGTTGTCACTCTCCTTACAGTGTGATGTTAAATGCTTCCACCAATCAGTGCCACACCTGGGGAATGACGTCATGATTTACCCGCCAGACCACGGATGTTGATTGGTTGGTTGTCACTCTCCTTACAGTGTGATGTTAAATGCTTCCACCAATCAGTGCCACACCTGGGGAATGACGTCATGATTTACCCATAGGCCACGGATGTTGATTGGTTGGTTGTCACTCTCCTTACAGTGTGATGTTAAATGCTTCCACCAATCAGTGCCACACCTGGGGAATGACGTCATGATTTACCCATAGGCCACGGATGTTGATTGGTTGGTTGTCACTCTCCTTACAGTGTGATGTTAAATGCTTCCACCAATCAGTGCCACACCTGGGGAATGACGTCATGATTTACCCATAGGCCACGGATGTTGATTGGTTGGTTGTCACTCTCCTTACAGTGTGATGTTAAATGCTTCCACTAATCAGTGCCACACCTGGGGAATGACGTCATGATTTACCTATAGAACAGTAATGTAGATCCAATAGACGTGTGTGTGTGTGTGTGTCTGTGTCTGTGTGTGTGTGTGTGTGCGTGCATGCGTGCGTGCGTGTGTGCATGTGTGCGTGTGTGTTCAAACTTTCTTATACTCAACACACACACCAACACAGTATGTCAGGCTGTTAGTTCCTGGACATAATACACACATCAACCTTGTACACACACCACAATGATACAGTCATAGTTAGGTGTGCGTGTGTGCAATATAAACATAAGTATGCATGTGTGTGTGTATGTGTGTGTGTGTGTACACATGTATGCATGTTGTACAGCATATGCATGTTTGTACATATGTATGTCTAAGAAACTTTCTACACACACACACACACACACACACACACACACACACACACACACACACACACACACACACACACACACACACAATGACTCTCTCAAGTCCCTGAACAATCGTAAGTTAAATTTCTCCCCCAAGATGTGAGAAGGTATTTAACTGACTCACTTAAGCTACGAGACAAAGTTAAGAAACCAATATGTCGGCCAAATTACCCAGAGACTCTACCGTCACCTTAATCACCTGTTGATATCCACGTGATTGAACAAGAGGAACGCCTGGTGATTGGTTACGCATGCTTGACGTCACATAAAAACCAGCCAATGAGAACGTGTGAAGCGATCCATGTAACATCTGACTAGCCACTCGCAGCGAATGAATAAAAACCTATCAGATGATTTGTCTAACGTGACGTAATAAAATAAATACCCCCAATGGGAACAAAAAATCAGATTAATATAAAATAATGTTATAAAATAGTTAACAGTAGCTTATGACAGATGATTCATGAAGGATATATGACGTCACAAAAAATAAGCCAATTAGAGACTAAAGCATCAGGCAATTTGATGAACAAAAGTGACGCCCCCAAAAAATTAACCAATCAGAGCAAAAGGATCTGATTTATCGAATAAAATCAATGACGTCACATAAAAATAAACCAATCAGAGTAGAGGAATTTATTTTCTCGTGTAATGTAAGTGACATCACAATGTAAACAGAGAGACTATTTACCTTACACATGCTTCAGAATCCAGCCATCATAAGTGGCATTTCTTAATCAGCTGTAGAGTGAAAGTTGGTTCTCATTATGTAAGTTGTAAATATGTAAACAGTTTGTAAGTGAAATTGTTAGTAAATACGCAACAGGGGCGGATCCAAGGGGAGAGGGGTGTGTTATTGGGGTCCAGATCCTCACCTTTTCTTTTAATGCAGTATTATTGTACTCAGGCGTTTTTTATACAATAAGCAATAATTACTATTGACGCAGGATATATATAATATTAGTGCACATAGCTCAAAATACACATAATATTGTCAGATTAAAATATTTTCTGGGGTTTGGAGACCCCCTCACATCATGGGACCCCCCACACCCTCTGGACTCCACCACACAACATGTGGATCATGGACCCCACACCACTACCCCACCCACCACACAGCCTCATGGACCCCCCCCACACAGCCTCATGGACCCCCCCAACACAACCTCTGGACCACCCCACACAGCCTCATGGACCCCCACAACCCCTCATGGACCCCCCCCACACAGCCTCATGGACCACCCCCCCACACACAGCCTCATGGACCCCCACACACAACCTCATGGACCCCCACACAGCCTGTGGTTTTCCCCAGCCTCATGGACCACCCCCACAGCCTCATGGACCCCCCCCACACCTCATGACCCCCCCCACAGCCTCTTGGACCACCCCCCACACACAGCCTCCTGGACCCCCCCACACCATGGACCACCCCCACACACAGCCTCATGGACCCCCACACAGCCTCCTTGGGACCCCCCACACAGCCTCATGGACCCCCTCCCCACACAGCTCAGGGCCCCACCTCATGGACCCCCTTTTTTATATTCCTGGATTCGCCCCGGTGTAAGGTATTTTTTCTGCCATGTACGCTAAACCTTGGGTAGTGACGTATTACTATCCTAACCTAAGTTTATTCTAACTTAAGTCTATCCTAACTTAGCTAACTTAACTCTATCCTAACTTAGCTAACTTAAGTCTATCCTAACCTAAGTCTATCCTAACCTAAGCCTATCCTAACTTAGCTAACTTAACTCTATCCTAACTTAGCTAACTTAAGTCTAACCTAACCTAAGTCTATCCTAACCTAAGCCTATCCTAATTTAAGTCTATCCTAACTCAGTCTACCCTAACCTAACTTAAGTGTATCATAACCTAACTTACACACACACACACACACCTGAATTCTAACCACCAATCAGATCCTCTTGTAAATAATCAAACCTTTTTTAATTGGTCAATGAGTGTCGTTAAGTTAACTAATGACTTCCTCCATGACAAGCCAATACTGACATATTTTTAGCAAGGTTAATGAGCTCAGGTGTGATGAGGCAGACTAACACAGGTACACGACCGGTAGTTAACTTCCGGTATACGATGGAACTGCTGATTAATTAGATACGGTATAGGTAACTGATTTAATACATTATGGTACAGTATGTATCTGAAAGTATGTGTATTATTGTATACATAGACAATCATGTATACCTGTACATATATGCTTCTATGTATGAATGTACTGTACTGTAATTACACATACAAGATACATACACAAATATTCAAATATACATATAAGTATTTCTAAACAGTTAAATATCCCATCAGCTTAAAAAATGGTGGAAAATATTAATAAAAAAAGATTAATAATTTTAAATCCCAATATTTGTAAACATTTCAATATGCAGAGAAAAACATAAAATATGGCGGGAAAGTCATGAGAGCTTCCATCTCTATCATAAGACAAAGTAATAATTCATATCTTTGTAATAAATAATAAATAATAATAATAATAATAAGTGGTAAGTCTTAAATATTCCGTAGGTGTTAGTATTATATTAAAGCAATAAATTATAGACCACAGACGTAAAATAATAGTGGAATTATAGATTAAGAATATATTGTTTTTTGACACTAGGACCAATATTTTATTTATAAGAATGTAATTAATTGAAAAGACATTGCAATGTTTTTGTTTTGAGGGAAAATACGTACAGGTATATATATTTTTTTCACTATTAATAAAGAATATTTTTTTTGCAGGTTTGGACACAATCAAGGGCAAGAAATAAACACTAAATGTGAAAACAACAACAATATGCAGAAACTAGTCACAATCTCCCTGGCGGTTTTCCTATTGGTCGGGAACCGCTGGGTGAGGGCACTGCCAACCAATCAAAATACTGCTGGAGTGGAAGAGGAAGCTGCTGATAGGCCAACAGATATGGAAGCACAAGAAACCCAGAAGAGATTCGTCATAGCTGAGCCGCCCCCCAGACACGAGGTACATATATCAACATTGTGAATAAGGTGATCGGTCAATGTTAAAGAAAATCCTACGAACAGGATATCTTAACGAAATTTTTTACCATTATTTGATTGTTAGATATATAGGTATTCCGTTAATCAATAATAACTGTGAAGAATACCAGTAATAATCATAATAATTACCAATAACTGTACAATAATCACCAGTCATTATAATTTCACGAGTAATGTTGTTGACAGACAGGGCAGCGGTGGCGAGTCCCTCCCCCATGGTCCAGCTCGACTGACTTTGTGCCCAATCTACCCTGGCAAACCTCGCCCAGGTATGTAGAGAGAGAGAGAGAGAGAGAGAGAGAGAGAGAGAGAGAGAGAGAGAGAGAGAGAGAGAGAGAGAGAGAGAGAGAGAGACTGACAGACATAAATTGACAGATATACAGGCAGACACAAATATATTTAGACAGAGTGAAAAACAGACGACAAGACAGACAGACATACAATAGAGTAAAAAGGATATATATACTATACAATTATCCCACCTCATCATGACCTAACAAGTGGCTGCGTCTACATCCATCTTGAACTGTTACCTGTAATTAAAGATTCCAGTCCTATTTATAAAAACTATACCTTTATAAAATACTATTATTAAAATATCTATAATTTATTGGTTTATATTATAGAGAAGCCTTAATGGATTAATTTAACTGAAAGAAATTACTTTACCTTCAAAAAATATATAGAATATAATATCCTTAAATATTGCCTCTATCATTTTCTTTAATAAAAAAAATGTTACAGAAAATGGATTAATCTCAAACTAATATAATAATAATAATAATAATAATAATAATAATAATAATAATAATAATAATAATAATAATAATAATAATAATAATAATAATAATAATAATAATATAGTACTCAAGGGCGACTCCAGGAATATCAAAAGGGGGGGCCAAGAGGTTGTGGGTGGGGGGACATGGTGACTTTTTTTTCTTTTTTGTAGAGAAATGAGGAATGAAGGAAGATTAGAGGTGGGGGCAGGAAGTTATAGTTCGGAAATTGAAGAAGTTTAGGAGGAGGTAAGAGAGGGCGGGCTGACCGCCTAGCTAAGCTAATAGTGTGTTAGGGATGTGTCATGGGTTAGTTATTGTCTGTCGGTACAGGCACTAGACAGCCTACCATGTCCCATATATGGGTGTTTTAAGGGCCTTATTTCATATTCCGCCAACCCTACTGGCGGATGCTGGTCTAGGGGGTTGTCTACTGCCTGGCCGTGTAGATCAGGGGTGGTGACGGACCTTTTGAGATTTCGTAGAGTTTTGGGAACCATGTATGGTTGTTGTCGTTATCTGGTGGGAGTCTTTGAAGGAGTTCTTGCTCTGCTCGTTCTATCTTTTGCCAGACTCTGTTGGCCAGGGTGTGCAGCTGCTGGTTGATGGGTTTTATTCTCAGGTCTCTATGTATCTCAGCTGTGGTTCTGGTGAAGGGGTATCTTTCACCTGTGACGAATCTTCGGGCTTCATTTTGGGCCACCTGTATTTTTAATATTTGAGTGGTGCTCATAGTATGAAGAGGTACTGCTGGGTAAGTTAATATCGGTGTGATAAATGATGTCACCAGGCGGAGTTTTATTTTCTCAGGAAGCGCTTTAAAGCGGTATAGTTTTCTCAGCTCTCTTCTTGCCTTTTCCTTCCTGGTGTGGACATGATGGTAGTAACCTGTCGTGGATATAGGCAGGCCCAGGAGGGTGCCTCTGCTTTTGTATTCTATCTGGGCATTATTGGTTACTAATGGATGGGTTTTCCTTCCGCATAAGGGTATCACTGTGAATTTCGGGAGACTGGTTTAGATTTTCCAGTGTTTTTCGTAATTATTTACCCTTTCTATTTCCCGCCTGATGTTGTCGACCTGTAACGCTCGCGATTTTCCTTGATGTGTTGTTATTTGAGTGACGTCATCTGCATACATATCTTCGCCTATTCTTGTGTAGATAATATATAGGGTGGGGAGAGGACGCTGCCCTGAGGGACTCTGCTCATGAGTGGGAAGGTCTCTCTTGCGTTGTCCTACCCTCAGTCTAGCATTTCTGCCGTCAAAAAAGTTGCAAAGCAACTTTTCAATGTTGGTGGGAAGTCCGAGTTGGAGGATCTTATATTTTAGACCGTCGTGCTAGACTTTGTCAAATGCCTTCGCTACATCCCGGAGAGTTAGATTACATTGGCTACCACTCGCCGCGGCTCTGGCTATGTTTTCACATGCCAGGGCTATCGCTGTTGTGGTGGACTTCCCTTTCCTGAACCCGAATTGTCTGCAGTTGACTCTGTTGTTTCCAGGTGATTTCTCAGACGGTTATTGATGATTTTTTTCTAGGATTTTTCCAGGTACTTCGAGGAGGGAGATCGGTCTGTAGTTTAGTGGGACGGCTGGGTTCTTTCCTTGTTCTGGTGTTAGGGTAATTGTGGCCTCTTTGAATTTAGTTGGGAAGTAACCCGAGGCCAGGCAAGCGTTCATTGTGGTTCTCAGTCTCTCCATGGCCGGGTTGTTTATGTGGCTGAGGATCTCCTTCGTATTGGAGATGGCTGTGTTGAGTTCTTCCGAGGTGATTGGTTTGGACAGTGGGCTGTCCACTCTCAGATCCTCCCATATGATTTCAGGGGAAGGCTGAGTGCGGTGTGTCTGGGCCCTGAGTTCATCAAGGACGAGCTCCTCGTGGGGACCATCAAATCCCCTATTCTCTTCATATGTCTCTGAATATGGGTTCTTTGTCTTGGTCGTCATATATTTTACTTCCTGCGTGGTCAGTTATATATGATGACTCGTTACGGCTGCAACCTTTCAGTCTCTTAACTCGACGCCAGAACTCTCCTGGATCGTTGTATGTATGTGAGAGTTGTTCAACTATTTCGGCCCATTTAAGGTTGCTTTGTTCCAGAGATCTTGTTTTTATTTCCTCCCGGATTCTTCTGTATGTATTGTAGCCAGTGAGCCCACCCAGTTTGGGGTTATGAGGGGGGGGAGAGTTGCTGTAAGACTCCAGAATTATTATTATTTTATTTTAAATCTGACCAATATTATGGCCATTTCGAGGCCATGTGCACTTGATATTATGATATATTCTGAGGTCAATAGTAATTACTGTTTACTATACAAAAACGCCTGAGCACAATACTGCATTAAAGAAAAGGTGAGGATCTGGACCCCACGGACCTCCCTGGATCCGCCCTTGATACTGTAATAATAATAATGGTATATTTATAATAATTGATGTACTATATTAAATTATTTTAAGAACCCATTACAGTAAAATAAAAAAATATACAATTACAATTATACGATTTGTGAAAGATGTAAGTTTTTGTTGACAGTATTAATGCGCTTTACTAAAACTACTGACTAGACTCCTAGAGGCTGAGAGATGAAACCATGGCATTATAATACTAGGCCCTGTTTTGTATTGGGCTGTGTGATAAATAACCCTCAAAACAAGATGTAAGAATATTCCTAACTGCTTGACTTAAGATAAAACACAAATATAACATTAAAATTATACTGAGACTCTACCTTATCTATGCTGTACGTTCAACTTAACACCAGTTAGAAGACAAAATTAATGTACGGAATCTTTCCTTGGGTCTTTGTGTTAAATTTTGTCTCCTAACTAGTATTAAGTGAATGTAGGGGTCACAGCTCAAGGTTGAAGAAGCCACAAGTCCAGATAACTGTGAGGGGTAACTTTATTGGAGTGAAAGTTGTGAACTCTTGGAACAATCTACCAGAGAGTGTTGTGACGGCACCGAGTGTGAGCTGTTTCAAGACCAGACTTGACCAACACTGGAGCAGGTACAGATACATTCAGGAGCCAGTGCATGACCAGTACTTGCCAACAGTGTGTAACAGAGACGTGACTGGTAGCCCAAGAGGTTAACGAGCCGATCAGTGGTAAAGAGGATAAAAGTAAAAAGTATCTAGTTAAGGTAGAGTCTCAGTGTTAATGCCTACCCTCGTCTCCCTGTAACAACCATGACAGCTCACACAAGTGGTGGAGATTATTAACTCAAATATTAATGTCTCACACCGTTACACTATAAGTAACTGCAAATCACATGGGGCCTTGTTATAATAGCCCCCAAGCTAACCATACCTAACTATCAGTATGGGGATCTATTAGGACCAGAGGGCCCATTAAAACTGAGGCCCATTAAGACCCATTCAAGACTTGCACTCCAGTTCAAATGGTTAGGTTAGGGGCCTTGCGAGGACTGAAACACATAATAACTGAGGCCCATAATAACTGGGGCCCATAATAATTGGGGCCCATAATAATTGGGGCCCATAATAACTGGGGCCCATAATAATTGGGGCCCATAATAACTGGGGCCCATAATAATTGGGGCCCATAATAACTGGGGTCCATAATAACTGGGGTCCATAATAACTGGGGTCCATAATAACTGGGGCCCATAATAACTGGGGCCCATAATAACTGGGGCCCATAATAACTGGGGCCCATAATAACTGGTACCCATAATAACTGGGGTCCATAATAACTGGAGCCCATAATAACTGGTACCCATAATAACTGGGGCCCATAATAACTGGGGTCCATAATAACTGGGGTCCATAATAACTGGGGCCCATAATAACTGGGGCCCATAATAACTGGGGCCCATAATTGGGGTCCATAATAATTGGGGCCCATAATCAGCCCATAATAATTAAACATAATAATCAGTCCATAATACTGGGGCCCATAATACCAGTCTATAATAACTGGGGCCTATAATAATTGGGGCCCATAATAACTGGGGTCCATAATAACTGGGGCCCATATTACCAGTCTATAATAATTAGCCCATAATACCGGGGCCTATAATAATTGGGGGCCATAATAACTGGTACCCATATTAACTGGGGCCCATAATTGGTACCTATTATAACAACGTCTAACAGTATTAGTTGGTTGGGCTGAGGTCTATTAGACAGCCAGTTACCCTATAAAAGCCTCTCTCCTCACAACCACATACCAACCAGTCAAAGTACCACCTGCAACCAAAACTAACCAACATTTGCTTGTCTCTAAACCAAACAACATTGCATGAGATCTTCAAGCACGTATCTCAATAAGGAATGACCCAAACTGACTACTCCAATTCACTAAATGCTTGAAATGACTTTGAATGACCTAATCTAACTAATTTTAATTGACTTGCTTGTTAAGGAATGACCCAAACTGACTACTCCAATTCACTAAATGCTTGAAATGACTTTGAATGACCTAATCTAACTAATTTTAATTGACTTGCTTGTAAAAATGACTTGCCTTAAAATTACTAATATGGTTAGATGTTTGCTTGAATAATAACTAAACTATTATATTATATCAGGTGAAGATTAGGGAAACCAGTTCATTTCACCTGTTGAGTAAAGCTAACAATACCTGGGGGGGTTAGATTAGGTTAGGTTAGCTTATCTTAGATTAGATTAGGTTTGATTGGATTATATTTACGTTTTATTAGATTAGTTTAGCTTTAGATTAGTTTAGGTCACTTAAGGTTAGATTTGATTAGGTTTTAGAGTGGCAAATCATCAGGTGAAATAAGCTAGGGTGCCTAATCTTCAGGTAATCCCATTAAACTAATTCCTTATGTGCTTATAATAACATAGAAGTGAGTCAATGTTCCTCCTCTCTTCCAAATTTTCAGGAGTTTCCCCTCGATAGTTGACGCGGGAAGTGTAGGGGGTGAGTTTGGCAGTCGATTACCTGATCCTTCTGCCTCTCCTTCCTTACCTTCTTCCTCTTCCTTATCACCTTCCCGTAAGCATACCTCTTCCTCCTATATACCGTCCCGTAATCATTTCTCCTCCTCATATGCTTCCTTCTCTCCTCCTGTCCCACGTTCGTCATTCATTCCATCACCAAGGTCTTCCCCAACACGCACCAAAAGACCTCGAAGAGTATCCGGGTCTTCAAGTACCAAGATATCCACCATCCAACCTACGTCCCTCGTCCTAACTACACCATCCACCTTGTCTATACCATCCATCCCACCCACATCCTCCACGCTGCCCACGTTACCCATTTTGCCCACATCATCCACCCCACCCACACCTTCCAGCCCGCCTACATCATCCACCCAGCCCATGTCATCCACCCCACCCACATCAACCACTTTCTACCCACAACCCCCACCCATCCGAACCCTAAGGAACCGAACCCAGTCTTCCCCCCAAACGATCGAATCCGACTCTTTCCGATCACTAGAGAAAGGAATCCAAACTCCCTCACATCCGGGGTCCTACGAGACTCTGGTGGACTCTTTGAAGAACGTCCCAAGAGGTCCTACGACTCACAGAAGGAGATATAAGGAACTGACACGTCCCCAGCGACCCGTCCTTAACACAGACAGGACAGACAGGCAGGTGCAGACAGCGTACACAGACATGATAAGCAGACACAGACAGCCACTGTACACAGACATAAATAACAGAGAGCTGAGACTCCCAGGAGAAAAGACTCCCTGGAGACAACCCAACAAGAGTGAGAGCCTACAAGACACAGACACAGTGGAACCTCATACAGACACAGCGGAACCTCATACAGACACAGTGGAACCTCATACAGACACAGTGGAACCTCATACAGACACAGTGGAGCCTCATACAGACACAGCGGAACCTCATACAGACACAGCGGAGCCTCATACAGACACAGCGGAACCTCATACAGACACAGTGGAGCCTCATACAGACACAGCGGAACCTCATACAGACACACAGTGGAACCTCATACAGACACAGTGGAACCTCATACAGACACAGTGGAACCTCATACAGACACAGCGGAACTCACACAGACACAGTGGAACCTCATACAAACACAGCGGACCTCATACAGACACAGCGGGAACCTCATACAGACACAGTGAGACCTCATACAGACACAGCGGAACCTCATACAGACACAGTGGAACCTCCACACACAGACACAGCGGAACCTCATACAGACACAGCGGAACCTCATACAGACACAGCGGAACCTCACACAGACACAGTGGAACCTCATACAGACACAGCGGAACCTCATACAGACACAGTGAAACCTCATACAGACACAGTGGAACCTCATACAGACACAGCGGAACCTCATACAGACACAGCGGAACCTCATACAGACACAGTGGAACCTCATACAGACACAGTGGAACCTCATACAGACACAGTGGAACCTCTGGGGACGGACGAGAGACAGGCGCCATCCATGGACATTCTTGGGATGGAGTCAACTAAGAGACAGATTGGCCGAGACAGAGAGACAGTGAGACAGACAGTACCGAAAGAGGGAGAGATAGACAGAGACCAAGAGACAGTAATTAAAGAGAGTGAGACAGACAGAGATACACAGACAGATGGAGAGAGAGACAGGGACCAAGAGACAGGAATTAAAGTGAGACAGACAGACAGAGACCAAGAGACAGGAATTAAAGAGATAATCTCCCCCAACGACCCCCAAGACAGGCTACAACAGGATGACGACCCACTGAGACGACACCACGACTCGACGCCAGACAGGTATGAAGGCTAAGGTGGTAGTGGTGGTAGTTGTGGTAGGTGTTGGTAGTTGTGGTAGTGGTGGTAGTTGTGGTAGGTGTTGGTAGTTGTGGTAGTGGTGGTAGTTGTGGTAGGTGTTGGTAGTTGTGGTAGGTGTTGGTAGTTGTGGTAGGTGTTGGTAGTTGTGGTAGGTGTTGGTAGTTGTGGTAGGTGTTGGTAGTTGTGGTAGGTGTTGGTAGTTGTGGTAGGCGTTGGTAGTTGTGGTAGGTGTTGGTAGTTGTGGTAGGTGTTGGTAATTGTGGTAAGCATGGTGAAGTTACTACTGTACTGATGGTGGTAATGGTGGTAGTTGGTTATGTATGGTTGGAGACCTTACCGGTAACCCTCCTGCTACCATCCACCACTACCACCAGGTACAATTTGTTACCACAGAGACCTTACTGGTAACCCTCCTGCTACCATCCACCACCACCACCAGGTAATATTTGTTACCACATTAGCCACCACCATCAGTTAAAGAATATTCCCCTCACCATCAAGCCATTTTCTTTGGTGTATTTTACTCTCTAAACACTCATAAACCATCACTTGACCTAAAGCACATTTCTTGACCTGTTATCTACCCTAAATGGTATATTAACATGACTGTGTTTATACTTTGTCTTCATGGTTCGGCTATACTTCAGGTCAACCAATCCCTTAATAACCTCTCAGCATGTTCCTTCCCTGATTAATCCCTATAAATCCCTCAGGTCTTGTGTACTGAGGGGAGTGCATGTCGGTCAGCTGAGGTATAGAAAGATGAGACAACAAACTAGCTGAGTCAGTTTGACCTCAGTGGAGAAAATATCTAGACTTTGTATAAAATAATTCTTGTAAACGATACATTTTTTTACCCTTACAGGATCTAATTAAGTATTTCAACCTTCAATATAATCAACAAATATTATAAATAATATAACTTTACCATTACAGGATCATATATGTACGATCTGTTGTTATAGGATCACATAATGTATTCCAATCCTTATAATCTTCAATTTCTATAAACAATACAACATCTGCCCTTACAGGATCATATAATCCAATCTCATTCCCATATGGTTGATGCCTTGGGTTATTTCGCTTATATTTTAGGCTCGAGTGTTTGTGTGGTCAATTTGGTGACTGTGTTCTGTCCTTTTATGTAAACAAAATAATAATACCCGTAAAGATAAAACAATACTACAATAATAATAAGATGTAATAATGATATAATAATACAGTAATAATAATAATTCTTACACACACACACACACAACCTCCCGACTCCAACCATCTTCCATGTCCAGGGACTATAGATGCACCATGGAAACACCCACAATAACTACCTCATCTCCCCACAGGACCCCAGCAGCCAAGCGCCCACCTCCACAACGTCTCAACCATAGCCTTCGAATCCACTCATACCAGAGCACCTACCCCTTCGAGTCTGAGGTCCGGGGTCAGGGCTATCACTCGAGAATTAGGTTCGATCCCTTTAGTAGCGGAGTGCCCCTCAAGGACCAGCAAGCTCCCAAGGGTCAGACCTTTGGGAATTGGTCACCGCGACCTGCCCCAACTAGCAGCGGTGAGGGCAGTGGATCTAGGGTACGAGGTGACCGCCCACTAGCGTCTCACTCACAGCCTGTATCTACCGGCCAGCGTGGCAGACCAGCTTCATATTCCACCTTCTCACAGCACTTCCCTAGTCCCCCATCTCAAAGTTCCGAAACCACTGGATATCAGAACCCCGCCTTAAATAATCAGCCGTACAGTTTTCAAGGTAATCTCCCACTAGCACCGACACCACCACCCCAGCCGATACTCACCAGGCCGTTCTTGCATCCAGGAAACCTACCAGCGCTGCCTGAAGGAGTTACACTGGATGGTGGTGGATCATACGACCTTCCTGACCCCATATTTGACACACCTCACCCACCACACACCCATCAACCACATCCCGATGATAGTGTCCCCACCAGTTACGAGTTTGATTACCCCAGTGTGGCTAACGTCTTCGAGGACGGACCAAATAGTGGAGATATTGTTTTCGAGGGTGGGCCTGATGTCTTCGAGGGTGAGCCAAATGATGGGGCTAATGTCTTCGAGGGTGAGCCAAATGATGGGGCTAATGTCTTCGAGGGTGAGCCAAATGATGGTCTTCGAGGGTGAGCCAAATGATGGGGCTAATGTCTTCGAGGGTGAGCCAAATGATGGGGCTAATGTCTTCGAGGGTGAGCCAAATAATGGGGCTAATGTCTTCGAGGGTGAGCCAAATAATGGGGCTAATGTCTTCGAGGGTGAGCCAAATAATGGGGCTAATGTCTTCGAGGGTGAGCCCAATAATGGTGATAACGTCTTCGAGTCTCCCAGCAACGACAGAGAGACGAGGCCAGAAGAGGGGAGACACAGCCCAGGTGGTGAGGTCTCATCCACTGGTCACCTGGCGCTAGAGACTAACATCGACGACACCTTCTCTGCTCCTCCTCCTGTCCACAACCAAGGCCCACCTCCACACACTGGTTCTGACAACGATGACAGTCCACCACCACCAATTTATTCTGATGGTATTGTAAATTCATCACCACAAATACATTCTGACAACACTGAGAGAGAACCTAAACGATTCAATTCTGACAACATTGGAAGTGGACCTATACAAATCACCTCTGACAACATTAAAAGTGACTCTCCTCAGCTCACTTCTGACAACAGCGAAAATTCACCACCACAAACTGCCTCAAGTCATGCCAGTAACCCACCACACAACCCCACAAAAGCCGACACTGTAATCAAAACGTCATCGTCTCCCGTTAATGTTGATTACTACGATAACCTATACGACGAGTTCCTGGATATGTATTACGATGCCGAGAGTGATGAAGGTCAGTCGTCTATTTCACAAACTCCCTCAAGATCGACGTCTCCTAAGTCCATCCAGTCTTCACCATCATCTTCGGACAATCTCGCTGGTGCCGTTCCTGTGGAGATGTCGACCACTACCACCGCCTCTACCACGACTGAGTTTACACCGTCTACAACAAGTACCACCACAACTTCTACACCACCACCACCACCCGTAACAACCACAACAACACCACCACCACCACCACCCATAACAACCACTACTACTCCTCTTCCTACTACCACTACCACCACCCCTCCTCCTACCACTACTACGACCACCCCTCCTCCTCCTACTACTACTACCACCACCCCTCCTCCCACTACCACCACCCCTCCTCCTCCCTACCACTACTACGACCACCTCTCCTCCTCCTACCACTACTACGACCACCCTCCTCCTCCTACCACTCACCACCACCACCACCCCTCCTCCTCCTACTACCACCACCACCACCACCCCTCCTCCTACTACCACCACACCACCACCACCCCTCCTCCTCCTACTACCACCACCACCACCACCCCTCCTCCTCCTACAACTACTACCACCACCCAAACTCCTTCTACAACAGCAAGTAGAATAATACCAGAAGTCCCTACAAGACCTACTCTACTTAGTCAGCGAGGGAGATTCAAGACAAACCCGTACTCCAGAAGGCTTAGCGGGGAGAGGCTAGCGGGGAGCAGTTCTGTGGTGAACGAGCGAGTGTCGGACCAAGAACTTCGTGAACCTGTGGACCAAAAAGTGACGACTCTGCCATCTTCATCTTCAAGCTCGGGAGAAACAGGTTAATATATTTGGATTAATTTAGAGTTATTTGTCTGTCTGTCTGTCTGTCTGTCTGTCTGTCTGTCTGTCTGTCTGTCTGTCTCTGTCTGTCTGTCTGTCTGTCTGTGTTTCAGGTAGAGATTGTTATTGTTTATAGAGGAATTCTTTGTCTGTCTGTCTGTCTGTCTGTCTGTGTTTCAGGTACATATAATTATACAGATATTAATTATTTATTTATCTGTTTCAAGATTGTTATTAAAATACACCAATTAATTAGGTCAGTTAATCATAAGGTGAAATTAACTAGGGGGGGTTAATCTTCAGGTGATCCAATTCAACCACATTAAACTGGCATCGTGTTACAGAGAGAGCAGGACCTATCATCAGCCTGTCGGAGATCATGCAGGGTATGGACATGACCCTCCCACAGTTCCTGGTCTCCCTCAAGGATCACAGCATGACCATGAAGGATTTCACCACCAGTCTACAGGCCAGAGGACTCACGCAGAGGGAGTTCAAGAAGGCGAAGGGGAATATGGAGTCTCTGCTTAACCTACTGAAGGGGGAGTTGGAGTCCAGTGATTCAGCCAGTGGGGGTGGTGATGACTCGCCTGATGAAGGAACGACCACCACCCAGAAACCAGTGAGTTCTATACCCTACTGGCTCACCACTAGACCTACCTGGAGGCCACCAACCACAACTACCACCACTACTACCACCACCACTACTACTACTACTACTACTACCTCCACTACCACAACACAGCCACCAACTCCAGCCTCCCAACCTAAGATATTTGGTTTTCGTCCCGGTGGTCGACCTCAGTTTCCCAACACACAAGAGGACAAGGTAGAGGAAGACGACACACAGGAGACAGAGCAACACTCAGGCCAGAAGGACAAGTCACCGACCCCCATCAAACTGGACATGGCCGCCATCATGAAGGACAAAGGTCTCAGTGCCTCAGATATCCTCCACAACCTGGGTTCTCTCTTCACTGTGGCCGACCAAGATACTCCCAACCCTGACGACAACAACACCACTTCACGAGACAACAACACGACTTCAGGTGAGACTAGGGAGAGAGGAGAAGATGAGGAGGAGACAAGTGACACAAAAGATGAGGATAGTGAGGAGGGTTCGTCATCCACCTCACAACCTGAGACAGACTCCACGTCCACTGTGTCTCTGAGGCCTTACAATCCCTCTGCAGGGTCAGAGAGGTACCATCCCCGCCCCTACAGGCCTCTGGGTCAGGGTGGCGGCTGGGGCGGTGGTGGGAACCAACACCGCAGCATCATCACCAACAGACGACACACCACCTTGAGGCCCACCCTCCGCCCACCCTACCAGCCACCGCCGATAAAACCCACAGAGTTGGATGTCCTCCACACCTCTACACCCTCATCCAACGACAACAAATTACCCTTTGGTCTTCCTGGAGGAGGAATACCCGTAGGGACTCTCTCTGGCCAGGCATATCACCCCCGGTACAACAACGACTACATCCCCGTATACGACAACGACCCCAACTCCCTCAACATGTCCACTAAGAGCGCAATCATGGCAGCATCGGTCCTCGGCGGGGTGGCCATGTGCGTCTTCCTGGCTATCCTGGTGGTGGTAATGTACCGTGGGCGCGTGAGGTTCAGACGCACGCCCCTGGCACTCTCCAGTAACGCCTCCTCCTCCTCCCTCCCGCCCATATACTCCACCAGGTTCAGCGGAGGTAAAAGCACCAGTAAGTCGTCAGGGTTATGGGGGACACTGAAGAAACGATTCGATCCTTACTCGCTAAGTCCGACCCCTACCGTCATGACCTGAGGCCAAAGCATAAAACTTATTTCATTACACTCATCTGATTGTAATGCCACTCAGGACAGTCAATCAGAAAACTTCCCTGATTACCAACTTAATGCAACACTCAGAGCTTTTGCCTATGGTATTGATAACCCCAAACACTCAGGACAGTCAATGATACAGCTCTGACCTGACACTCAGAACACTCAACTACTGATTTCCCTAAACTTACATCATCCAACATACACTCACCTGATGATAACATTACTCAACACTCAGGATAGTCAATCAGATAATTCACCAGACACTCAGACAACAAAAGCAGTTAATCAGCACACTCCCATGATACTGATTTCCCCAGACATTCAATACAGATACCCAGTTACACTCAGAACACTCATCCACTCACGATCCGATGCCCAGTTAAGAGTGTTGAATTAAAGAAGCCAATCCCATCATCATCATCATCATCATCATCATCATCATCATCATCATCATCATCATCATTATCATCATCATCATCATTATCAACAATGTTTTATGGCCATTTCTCGTACTTGTGGGAGTTAGCTGTTATTACCTGATGACAGTTGTTGAGTAAAACCATATTGGAATGACCACCTCACTCCTCCCTCGTTAATGACCCAAGGAGTTAGCCCCAGGAACCACGGTACAGGCATAGGCATAGCTCTGGATGCCCTCCTTAATGCCAAACCCAACTGGTGCTGAGTGAATGTATCTAGTTGAGGTAGAGTCTTAGTGTAATTCTGATGCCAAGTCGGACCTTGGCTCTGTGCTTTAGTTTTAATCGGCCAATTAGATACGTTCAAGAATATCCAGTTGTAGGGAATAGTCAATGTACGAACCACTAAAAATTCATCTGTTTTTTTTTGTTATTTTAGCTTAAGTCAGTTAGATACGTTCTCTCATCACCAGTTAGGAGGAAAATTGAACATAGGAACCTTTGAGAATCCATCTTGTGTGGTAGCTTAAGTGAGTCAGTTAGATACGTTCCCACATCACCAGTTAGGAGGAAAATTGAACTGGGAACCTTTGAGAATCCATCTTTGTGTGGTAGCTTAAGTGAGTCAGTTAGATACGTTCTCACATCACCAGCTAGGAGGAAAATTGAACTTAGGAACCTTTGGGAATCTTGAGAATCCACCTTTGTGTGGTAGCTTAAGTGAGTCAGTTAGATACGTTCTCACATCACCAGTTAGGAGGAAAATTGAACTTGGGAACCTTTGAGAATCCATCTTTGTGTGGTAGCTTAAGTGAGTCAGTTAGATACGTTCTCACATCACCAGTTAGGAGGAAAATTGAACTAGAACCTTGAGAATCTTGAGAATCCATCTTTGTGTGGTAGCTTAAGTGAGTCAGGATACGTTCTCACATCACCAGCTAGAGGAAATTGAACTTAGGAACCTTTGAGAATCTTGAGAATCCACCTTGTGTGTAGCTCAGCCAGTTAGGAGGAAAAGATGTTCTCACATCACCAGTTAGAGGAAAAATTGAACTTGGGAACCTTTGAGACTCCATCTTTGTGTGTAGCTTAAGTGAGTCAGTTAGATACGTTCTCACATCACCAGTTAGGAGGAAAATTGAACTTAGGAACCTTTGAGAATCCATCTTTGTGTGGTAGCTTAAGTGAGTCAGTTAGATACGTTCTCACAACACCAGTTAGGAGGAAAATTGAACTTAGGAACCTTTGAGAATCCATCTTTGTGTGGTAGCTTAAGTGAGTCAGTTAGATACGTTCTCACATCACCAGTTAGGAGGAAAATTGAACTTAGAAACCTTTGAGAATCCATCTTTGTGTGGTAGCTTAAGTGAGTCAGTTAGATACGTTCTCACATCACCAGTTAGGAGGAAAATTGAACTTAGGAACCTTTGAGAATCCATCTTTGTGTGGTAGCTTAAGTGAGTCAGTTAGATACGTTCTCACATCACCAGGTAGGAGGAAAATTGAACTTAGGAACCTTTGAGAATCCATCTTTGTGTGGTAGCTTAAGTGAGTCAGTTAGATACGTTCTCACATCACCAGTTAGGAGGAAAATTGAACTTAGGAACCTTTGAGAATCCATCTTTGTGTGGTAGCTTAAGTGAGTCAGTTAGATACGTACTCACATCACCAGTTAGGAGGAAAATTGAACTTAGGAACCTTTGAGAATCCATCTTTGTGTGGTAGCTTAAGTGAGTCAGTTAGATACGTTCTCACATCTCCAGTTAGGAGGAAAATTGAACTTAGGAACCTTTGAGAATCCATCTTTGTGTGGTAGCTTAAGTGAGTCAGTTAGATACGTTCTCACATCACCAGTTAGGAGGAAAATTGAACTTAGGAACCTTTGAGAATCCATCTTTGTGTGGTAGCTTAGGTGAGTCAGTTAGATACGTTCTCACATCACCAGTTAGGAGGAAAATTGAACTTAGGAACCTTTGAGAATCCATCTTTGTGTGGTAGCTTTTAGGTGAAATAAAGGATGCTGTGTTCTCACATCACCAGTTAGGAGGAAAACAACTTAGAACCTTTGGAGAATCCATCTTGTGTGGTAGCTTAAGTGAGTCAGTTAGATATTAGTTTCACATCACCTGTTAGGAGGAAAATTGAACTTGTGATCCTTTGAAAATAAGAATGAGAAGCTAGATCCATAGTGACAAGTGTGAACAATGGACAAGTGAGTCCCTGAACTTAACAGACAAACACAAATGTCGCTGTGGTGTAACGAGTTAACGACTCTACCTAATAAACGTGTGGAATAATACACGTTTCCCACTCGTTGAATACCTGACCGAAACAAAAATACGTACTGAATCTAAGAAAAATAAGTATACAGTACAGGTATTTTCAAAACATTAAAAGTATATATAATTTTTTAACATGACTGAAATAGCATACAAGAAAATACGAACAATATAATTTACTTCGCAAGAGTGAGACTTAAACCTTATGCCTCCAGTGTTCTCCAGTTGATGGGTCAGTCGGCTCTGCAACATAAATCAACACGGTGCAACAATGAAGTAGATGTGTTAGTAGTCCGTTAGTTTATGTTAATTTAATTATTTCTGTAGCTTCATAAAATATTACTTGTTATTTATATTAATGTTTAAAATATTCGGGTGGTGTTGTGTCGATGGTGTCAATTAAATTTCTAAGAAGGATTGGGTTTTTTCTTTATCCTGTGTTATGTGGCTGTGGTCTTATGTTGTTGTTGTCTTATGCTGTGTTATGTTGCTGTGTTTCATGTTGTCTTATGCTGTGTTTCATGGTGCTGTGTTACATGTTGTCTTATGCTGTGTTATGTTGCTGTGTTTCATGTTGTCTTATGCTGTGTTTCATGTTGTCTTATGCTGTGTTATGTTGCTGTGTTACATGTTGTCTTATGCTGTGTTATGTTGCTGTTGTCTTATGCCGTGTTATGTTGCTGTGTTTCATGTTGTCTTATGCTGTGTTTCGTTGTCTTATGCTGTGTTATGTTGCTGTGTTTCATGTTGTCTTATGCTGTGTTTCATGTTGTCTTAAGCTGTGTTTCATGTTGTCTTATGCTGTGTTTCATGTTGTCTTGCGTTTCAGTGTCTATGCTGTGTTATGTTGCTGTGTTTCATGTTGTCTTATGCTGTGTTCATGTTGTTATGCTGTGTTTCATGTTGTCTTATCTTGTGTTATGTTGCTGTGTTTCATGTTGTATTATGCTGTGTCATGTTGTCTTATGCTGTGTTTCATGTTGTCTTATGCTGTGTTTCATGTTGTCTTATGCTGTGTTTCATGTTGTCTTATGCTGTGTTTCATGTTGTCTATGCTGTGTTTCATGTTGTCTTTGTGTTTGCTGTGTTTCATGTTGTCTTATGCTGTGTTTCATGTTGTCTTATGCTGTGTTTCATGTTGTCTTATGCTGTGTTATGTTGCTGTGTTTCATGTTGTCTCTTATGCTGTGTTTCATGTTGTATTATGCTGTGTTTCATGTTGTCTTATCTTGTGTTATGTTGCTGTGTTTCATGTCGTCTTATGCTGTGTTTCATGCTGTATTATGCTGTGTTTCATGTTGTCTTATGCTGTGTTTCATGTTGTCTTATCTTGTGTTATGTTGCTGTGTTTCATGTTGTCTTATGCTGTGTTTCATGTTGTCTTATACTGAGTTATGTTGCTGTGTTTCATGTTGTCTTATGCTGTGTTACAGTTGTCTTATGCTGTTATGTTGTGGCATGTTGTTTATGCTGTGTTATGTTGTCTTATGCTGTGTTCATGTTGTCTTATGCTGTGTTTCATGTTGTCTTATGCTGTGTTACATGTTGTCTTATGCTGTGTTTCATGTTGTCTTATGCTGTGTTTCATGTTGTCTTGTGTTATGCTGTGTTCATGTTGTTCATGCTGTGTTTCATGTTGTCTTATGCTGTGTTCATGTTGTCTTATGCTGTGTTTCATGTTGTCTTATGCTGTGTTACATGTTGTCTTATGCTGTGTTTCTGTTGTCTTATGCTGTGTTTCATGTTGTCTTATGCTGTGTTTCATGTTGTCGTATGCTGTGTTACATGTTGTCTTATGCTGTGTTTCATGTTGTCTTATGCTGTGTTTCATGTTGTCTTATGCTGTGTTTCATGTTGTCTTATGCTGTGTTATGTTGCTGTGTTTCATGTTGTCTTATGCTGTGTTTCATGTTGTCTTATGCTGTGTTATGTTGCTGTGTTTCATGTTGTCTTATGCTTGTGTTTCATGTTGTCTTATGCTGTGTTTCATGTTGTCTTATGCTGTGTTATGTTGCTGTGTTTCATGTTGTCTTATGCTTGTGTTTCATGTTGCTGTGTTACATGTTGTCTTATGCTGTGTTATGTTGCTGTGTTTCATGTTGTCTTATGCTGTGTTTCATGTTGTCTTATGCTGTGTTATGTTGCTGTGTTCATGTTGTCTTATGTGTTATGTTGCTGTTGTCTTATGCTGTGTTATGTTGCTGTGTTTCATGTTGTCTTATGCTGTGTTCATGTTGTCTTATGCTGTGTTATGTTGCTGTGTTTCATGTTGTCTATGCTGTGTTTCATGTTGTCTTGCTGTGTTTCGTTGTCTTATGCTGTGTTTCATGTTGTCTTATGCTGTGTTTCATGTTGTCTTATGCTGTGTTAGTTGCTGTGTTTCATGTTGTCTTATGCTGTGTTTCATGTTGTATTATGCTGTGTTTCATGTTGTCTTATCTTGTGTTATGTTGCTGTGTTTCATGTTGTCTTATGCTGTGTTTCATGTTGTCTTATGCTGTGTTTCATGTTGTCTTATGCTGTGTTTCATGTTGTCTTATGCTGTGTTTCATGTTGTCTTATGCTGTTTCATGTTGTCTTATCTTGTGTTATGTTGCTGTGTTTCATGTTGTCTCGGGTCTTATGCTGTTTCATGTGTCTTATGCTGTTATGTTGCTGTGTTTCATGTTGTCTTATGCGTGTTTCATGTTGTATTATGCTGTGTTTATGTTGTCTTATCTTGTGTTATGTTGCTGTGTTTCATGTCGTCTTATGCTGTGTTTCATGCTGTATTATGCTGTGTTTCATGTTGTCTTATGCTGTGTTTCATGTTGTCTTATCTTGTGTTATGTTGCTGTGTTTCATGTTGTCTTATGCTGTGTTTCATGTTGTCTTATACTGAGTTATGTTGCTGTGTTTCATGTTGTCTTATGCTGTGTTACATGTTGTCTTATGCTGTGTTATGTTGCTGTGTTTCATGTTGTCTTATGCTGTGTTATGTTGTCTTATGCTGTGTTTCATGTTGTCTTATGCTGTGTTTCATGTTGTCTTATGCTGTGTTACATGTTGTCTTATGCTGTGTTTCATGTTGTCTTATGCTGTGTTTCATGTTGTCTTATGCTGTGTTCATGTTGTCTTATGCTGTGTTTCATGTTGTCTTATGCTGTGTTTCATGTTGTCTTATGCTGTGTTATGTTGCTGTGTTTCATGTTGTCTCATGCTGTGTTTCATGTT